TAGGATGTCAACAACCGCTTAAAAATAACTGCATTTACTATGTACAGATAAGTGCATATGTATTATGTTTATTGTTTTTTAATTCTAACATTATAACATTAATTACAGTGAAACTGTTATACAGTTTAATTTATTTATACCATAGTAGTGCAGTGTTTCCCACAGACTTGCAATCTATTTGTGGCGGCATATATATGCAAATTAATTCTCTGCCAGCAGGAGGCGCTGTTGGAGTGGTAGAGATCGAGGTTCCCCCGGTAACGCTGTACACAAAGCAGAGCTCCACTCACAAACGCTGCTTTATCAGACCCTAGCGTTTTCCGACGCAGCGTCTCATTCCCTCGAGGAACCAGGGTTACATACGTAACCCGAGACATTTTTCGTTGATCATGTCTGTCTTTTACCATCCAAATTCTAGTCATTTAGCACCAGGATTTTGTTTTTGAGGACATTTTAGTGTGAGATTTTTGCATAAGCACAATCAAAGTGGGACAGAGCGAAGACATGAGAGAGTCAGCCTGGAGTACCGTTATTTTTAGGCTGGTAATGATCTATCCTCACAAGTTCCCCTCTATGAACTCTCACATGGAGTCTTATTATCTGAAGTGAGATGAGACATATAACCCTTACAAATGTGTAGCTATTGACTATGTGAAATTAGATTGTCTCTTTTAATGAGATACACCACTATAGTCACAGTATATGAGATGATTGAAGAAATGGAGCTTTGAATTGATGAAATGGACGTTTGTATCTGTGAGCGCTTCAAAAGCAACTCAGATCTGATGCGGCTCATTTCTAGCCTAATACCCAAAGTCTTGGTGGAACTGAACAGGTCAGAACTCCTTTACCTTCACCTTCACAATGATCTGAAATCGAAACCTTAACAATTTTCTTTGAAATTGAACTGTTCTTGTGAGTAAGGAAGGTTGTAGTATAATGAAATTTAACTGAAGGTACCTGAACAATCTTGGTTGTGAATCAGGTAAAACAAAATTAATACTGATATGCTTGCATTGCCTGGTTATAACACTTTCTTTTTTGCTGTGGGTTATACTGGGAAATTACTGCTAACTGTTGAATAAGCAATATCATAAGCCTAATTTAAATATAATGGGAGCGTGTTTGCACTGAAAAAAATGGGAATGACTTTAAACACATCACCATGTCTGTCACCATGTCAACTGACGGGTTTCCGAAAGTTAAAATCCCATTCATTTTCTCCATAATGGAATTGATTGTGAACGATAATTTACCTTTAAAGACAGACTTAAATGAACTACAAGGTTGTTAATCAGTCATCAGCCCACATTCTGTCAACTTATGCATAAATAATCGTGTTCAACAGCAGAATTTCTGGTGACAACTACATTACCTATGATTCTGTGAAGAAATCCCCACCAATCATAGAATCGCAACAAGTAAATTGTGCCAAAGTAACTCTTTAGCCCCACCTACTTCCATGAAGCACTGCAAATTACGTAATAATTATTTTGCCATAAGCATAGAATATATTGTTTCTATATATAATCAAGATATTTAAATCAATTGTTTTATATTTCTCCATCATTTTTAATTCGATTATGTCATTCACATTGTGTCATTAATAGTTCTTTCCCTCATTAAAGTCATTAAGTACTTATCTTTTTGTCGAGTTTTCAAATACTTTTTTGCTTCAAATCAAAGTTTGTAATGTTGTGATTCACCTCGTAGCTCGTTGGCTTGGTTCATGGCTTTTTTCCTTTTTTTTCCTTTAAAAAAAAAATATTGGAAAAATGAATGGGAAAAAAAATACTTCTGCAACCAAGGCTGCTGATAAAGTGGGCAGACACTGTAGAACTTTATTATACAGCTTTTTTAAATACTCAATTCTGATTGGTCACTTGTGCCATGGATCGTCATCATACCTCTTGTATAACACCACAGACTTGTTCTCTTATTTCATACAAACACAAGTGGTGCCAGCATGCATCTTAGTTATTTACTGTAATGAAAATGACCTCAGAGGAGTTCAGTATTTATATTACTGTAATATTGTTGCGGTGTTCATCTGGTCTATCTCGGGTGATTGTTTGTGCATTGTAATGGTCCATTTTTCTTTGCGGAAGCTGTAAGATAATAATATACAGTAATGACCATAAAATCAATTTAAACTAAATATCATGTCCATCCATCTATTTATTTGAGTAGCTGTGTAATAAGTGGGCATTTATACAGTCAGCTCACATTAATTATAATTTTTGCAAAATGAAACTCTTTACTCTGTGGACTGCGGGTCAAACTCGAAATACAGTGCACAAAAGGGGTGTAACTGTTTATTGAATTCGCCACTCTGCCTTTAAAATATTAAGGCTGATCCCAGAGCACGCCATGGGATGCTATATTTGTGAAAGCATCAATACTTCCAATAAGTGTCATGATAAAGTCTTGAGATAGTCTGCTTCTACCTTTGTGTGTTCCTCTCTGGAGCAGCTCTCTCTAATTTTTCAGTCTCGAATAAATATTTCATGCAACAATGATTTTTTTCCACACTAAAATGAGCTGTGTGCGCTGCCTGTGGGTGTTCTTGGGAAGCAAATGAGAAGGGCTTACTTTTAATGATGTAAGGATATGCTCCTTGCTTCTGTTCGAAAGCACAGATAGATGGAGATGGAAATGGAGGCTTAACAGGATAGGGTGTTCTGATGGTACTTTCTCGACTTAAACCGCATAGCTCCTTTGGGAGGCTAACATCTTTTAGCCGACACAAAAAAGCCAATGCCCTTATTTTGACCCATCTTTTGTTGCATGGAAACACAAAGGATTTTCGTTTTCCAAAGCTTATTTTATAAAATATTGTTTTCTATTTCCTTTGGGCTCTCCAGGTCTAAACTGGGCCTTGATAAGGAGCCAGGCCTGATTCACCTTGAGACCAGCATCTCAGAAACCCGTAAGTCTGAATGGTGTCCCTGGACGTGCTTTGATTACATTTCAAGAAGCTATCATTCAAAAACGGCACAAGGCAACACTTGGAGGGTTCAAAATAGGCTTCACATTAAAATGCAAAATGGACAGTTCTGCTCCAGCAAATCCATCTTTCCGTATTAGTCATCAGTAATTAACATTAATGAAGAAACATACCGCACAAATTGAGTTTGTCTTTTGTTTGTTGAACCTGTATTTCTGTTGATTGGCAGACAAAAAGAGAAGCTACATGTGGCAGTTCTGTTGTACATGGTCCCCCAAAACAGTCAATTTGAGTGAGGTTTTCTTAGACTGTTTGAAGTTAATATACAAGGAAAATTAGGGAGGCCAGGTACAATTGTAATATTTGTTTAAATAACATTTTCATTGTTAACTTAAAGGCTACTAGAGATTTTCCTCTCATGGTAAAATTTAAATTTAAATGTGTTGATAGTAACAGTACAAATATTGAAAAATGTTAGATGGCAATTGTGGTTATGTACTGAAAAAAAAACAAAAAAAAACAAACAGAAAGACAATTTGTGTTGGTTTTACTTTGAGACAGTTGTTAGAAAATTTCAAAAAATAATTACAAATTAACGGCAAGCAACATATTGAATTAAATCTGAAATTTTGAAGAAGAAATACTAGGGTTGGAACGGTTCAACTTACGGTTCGGTTTGTATCACGGTTTTAGAGTCACGGTTTCGGTATGGTTCGGTATGTGCTTTGTTTAGGCAAAAAATACACTGTCAAATAAAAATAAAGAAAATAAGAATAATCTATCTAACTACAAGCAACAGCACAAATAAATACAATATAGTAAAGATACAAATAAAATAAACAATGATTTTCAGTTTTTTTTAGGTAGGTCTAACAGTTTTTAGGTACAGAAATTGAATAACACAATACTTCAGAGAGAGCTTAATATTTGCGCGCGTTCTGAGGCCCGGGTTTGTGCACTTCAGATGAGCGCTAGCACAAATCTTCTCACTGTGCGCACGAGCTCACGTCCTCTGGCTCTTAAATGTTAAAACTGGCAAAGCTTAAATGAGTTTAGCTTAAACACAGATATCAGCGTGTGCTGTTCAGGTCTCACTTGTGCGCGCGCTATCAGCACCCGGGTGATGACGGAATAAATGTTCATATTCCAGCATACGGCATTCGCATTGAACAAGAGCAAAGTCCCTTTAAGGCAAGTCATGTCACTCGGCGGCCATCTTTGAAACGCGTCTCGGGCATGCAAGTGCAACTCCTATCTCTTTGAATGGGGAATTATCAAATTCTCCAAAACTGTTCACAAAGCTTACGATTAAATTTCATATTTGAAATCACCAATGAAATCTGACAACAACTGTATCATAAGTGTTGTTTATTTTGCTCAAATAGCGTTTAAAAAAAGCTTATTTCTCAAGCCAGACCAGCCAGTGCGTATGCGCAGTCCTAGGTGCACGTCTCAGAGCGTTGACTGTTTCTATAGCAACCGGGACTTCTAACGGCAGCTGCAGTGACGCGCTGACTTTACCAATTAGCGATTGGCTCTTTTCCTCAGAAGGCGTGGCTTCGTTCGATAGAGCGGCCATATTTAGTGTTGCATTTTTCCCCATTCAAAACTATACGAGTGACATGTCTTGGGTATTCTATAGTCTTTGACAAGAGTGAATGGTTTGTCCACGTTTTTTTTTTTCATCGCTGTTGTTGTAATGTATTGGGAAGCAAGAATGCGCATCCATCAACAGAAACATATATTAGCCGGACCCTGTTTGTTTTTTACGTGTTATTTATAGCAAACCATATTACAGATGCGTTGTCAGATTTAAGTTGAACCGTGGTCCTAGCGCATGCCGAACCGTGTGTGGAGAACCGTACGGTTCGATTTTTTCCGCAAACCGTTCCACCCCTAAGAAATACTAAAGTAGTATTTTTGTTTTATTTGCAACTTTGTGTTACAACTGCCCTCACTGTGCCCACATACAGTATATTAATACTATAAGAGAACCCCTTAAACTAGTGATATCAATATTTCATTTAATATTTACAGTTATCAATATCAGTATTACTATTATCTCTTATCAGTCAGTCTGTCTTTCTGAAAATCAAATATACCTTCATCTTTTTCTGCCGTTTGTCCTGCTGTTGTTACAGAGGCTCTTTATATCACATGCAAGCTTCAGAACTGCACAGATGCCAACAAGGGCAAACCTTTTCCTGGATACATCGACCCCAACTCCTTGGTGGTCCAAGATGAGTATGTGTTTGTTCAGGTGAGCCATTTACAGGGGGGAAACATTTGACTAGTATGGCTGTAGCAATAATTATTTTTCTTATGATGTGGCATTGATATTATAAATTCTGGTATTGATAATTAAGCATTTCCCATAGTTCAATATATTACATTTTTCAACAGTACTTAAGTATATTATGTATATATTTTTAATTTGAGTGCAAACTTTATTTATTATCTTTATTATTATTATTTTTTTTATTTAAGTCAAGTACCTTCCTTTTAATGCCATTCTGTTATATGTATGCACATTTCCAAATGATTTCATGGGACAGATATTTTCCTTTAAAAGCACACACAACCAACAAGTTTATTTTAAAAACACAAACGTAAGGCTAAAATTCACTACATGACTTTTGCCCAGATTTTTGCCCCAGTTTACAGTCTAAACTGTAGCTAGATGCCGAAAGGCAGAGCCAGTCTGCAGATTTGAGTTAACAGATTTCATAAAAAAATCACATAGTCTATGATGGACACAGTCTCTGATTTTTTATTTATTTATTTTTTAGCTTCAGACTATGAATCCATCCAGTCGGAGGATATCCAACATGTTTAATATTTTAAAACACATATTGTTTTCATTTACAAAGTCGGCAAGTGTGGGATGCCGTGTTTTGAAATCTGTTCAGATGTTAAAAGTTGCGTAGTGTCTTCAAGCTTTAAGTTTAAACTCTTGTAGTAGTGTCCTTTATTGCTGTCCAGGACACATCTGGATGAATGCAATGCGGATGCATTACTTTTTAGATACTTTTGAATATTCCAGACCCTCTTTACACCTGTATTAAGCACTATATAGTGCTTAATCTTAATACCGAGTGTAAACAGGGTCTATGAGGTGCCTTATTGAGGCAAATTAAAGCACATATATAAACTAATCCTCCAGATTCAGTCTGTGACGTGCATTTGGCACAGTTTCAACTGCGATTAAATTATGATAACGTGATTGAATTGCACCGATCATATCGCAACACATAATGTGATTCCTAGTATGTGACCAATATCCTAGTAGAACTCAAAATGTTACTTCTTTCTAAAGTGTCTTTGTCCTGTTTATTTGTGATCCCTCCCAAGGTGTCAACTGGTGGCCGGCCAATCTACTACGTGTCATCCAGGCGAGATGTGTTTACACCCATGAAGCTTCCCAAATACACCCTTCCAAAGGTAGAGTAGCTCATTCACACTTGCTCAACACAAAGTCAGAATCTGCCACGCTGTGATAGAGTAAACACACATTGCTATTTCAGACCCAGATCATCATGTCCCTCAATCTTAGCCTTTGAAGCTTCAAACCTTTACAAAATCCGATTTTTTTCGCCCTGGCATCTGACAGGCTCTTACTTCTGAGTGAGTGAATTCAGGGATGCAGATGCTACCGCAGTCCCTCGGTTCTCAGGATGCTGTGTTATTATTCAAAGCTTAAAATCTGCTGCTCTCACATGACAATTAAACATGTTTTATTCAATCAAGCTCTCGGCGCTCCTTTAAGCACACATCCAGCAATCCTTGCACGGTCTGGGGTAGATGAAATTCACAAACTGCCAGCATGTGGTTTTGTTGCATTTGCCCAACTGACAAGCTCAATTTAAGGCTAATAAGAATATTTGCCGTATGCCGAAGCTGTGAGCAAAACAAGGCAGGTGAGAATAGGGTCTGATACTGATTATTAATCGGATTCAGCTCAGTGGGGTGAAACCGCCACTGCTCTCCAGCTGTCCCCAGCCGTCCCAGTAACAACATTCATATTCAATCTCACTTGATTAGAGGCAAAAATCACATTAAAGGTTAAAGTCGTCCTCCTCTGATATATGTAAATGAGAAGGGTAAAGGTGTTTAGAATATTAAAAGGCACTTAAGTTGTTCGGAGTTCGGCCTACTTTTTCTTTCTGATGACGGAAAAGACAGAATAGAGTTGTTAAATCATTTAAATGGCACAGGTATGAACCGCACTGGAAAATGCAGTCGGCTCATCAAGAGAATAAAAGACAATTGAAGTTTAGTGTCTTCAATTTTATTGGCAAAGTGCACATCATATCGGTAATAAATAAAGATATGGGCAGCTAAATGAACGGAAATTCTTGTACAACAGCAATTACAATATCGTATATATATATATATATATATATATATATACACACACACTACAGTTCAAAAGTTTGATGATGGTGAGATTGTTGCAATGTTTTTTAAATAATCTCTTGTACTGACTAAGCCACATTTATTTGATCAAAACTGAATACATTTTAAAATTTATTTTTTCCTGTGATGGTAAAGCTGAATTTTCATCATCATTACTCCAGTCTTCAGTGTCACATGATCCTCCAGAAATCATTCTAATAGCTGATGTATTTATCTTATTTTTATCTATGTTGAAAAGAGTTGGGATGCTTAGTATTTTGTGGAATTATTTCAGGATTTTCAGAATGCTTTAATGAACATAAAGTTCAAAAAAAAAAAAAAAAAAAAGCTTTTATTTAAATTATAAATAATTTTCTATCTTAATGCCTTTACTGTCACTTTTGATCAATTTAATATGTCCTTGCTGAATAAAAGTGTTCATCCATATGCATAATTTTCAAATGATTTCTTATACAAAACTGAAGTCATGTAACTATGCTGGGCCACAACCAGTCAACTTAGTGCATTAATTATAGCCCACTATTCTAAAACATTCCTTGTCAGTTTTATAGACTTCTTTATTGACATGTTATTATACCAACATCTGGATAATGCCGGAGGCAGAATATTCTTTTGTCAAATAAATCACAGAGATCTGTTTTATGAAATGTCTTTTCCTTTTTCCCCAGGATCTGCATGTGATCAGTACAGATGAGAACCGGGTCGTGGCGGCAGTTCAAGAGTGGAACCAGAATGACACTTACAACCTGTATGTGTCAGAGGCCGGAGGCATTTACTACACGCTGGCTTTGGAGAACGTCATGAGCAGTATGGGACCAGAGGGAAATGTCATGATAGATCTATATGAGGTAACTCTCTCTGTAAAACACAACAGTGTCATTTATTTTCCACACTGTACAGATGTGTGTTGATTCAATATCACTGTTTCATGTTCCCATTTCTCTGGATATTAAAAGCATGATCATATTGAATGCACTAAGTAATGCTAATTGAGTGTAGTGTTAATTGATTTAATAGCAGGGCTAATTAATTAAGGAATTAATTACAGGACTATCAGTGGGTTATCTAAACAAGGAGCAGTTAGGAACGCAGAATATTCTCTGTGCATCTAAATCTATCACTATAGGGAGAAGGCATGGACACAGTGTTAAATATGATAACAGATTTTGTACCATATTAAAGTACAAAATCTCTTTCTTCAGTATTTCAATTAATGTGTTTTATATATATATATATATATATATATATATATATGTATATGTACATATGTATATTTATTCACATGATCCTTCAGAAATCCTTCTAATATACCGATTTGATGCTAAGTTATTTTTCATTATTATTGGTGCTCAGTTATTAATAATGTTTTTTTTTTATTATTATTATCAATGTTAAAAAATAAAATAAAATAAAAAATAACTAAATAAATAAAAGTTTTTGCTGCTTAATATTTATTTGGAAAAAAAAAATCCCCCAGGATTCTTTGATGAATAGAAAGTTCAATGAACAGCTTTATTTGAAACAGAAATCTTTTGTAACATAATAAAGTACTTTACGGTCACTTTTGGTCAATTTTGGTAAAAGTTTTTTTTGTTTGTTTTTTTGTCAAGACTACAAACAACTAAATGGATTTAAAATTTAAATCTAAAAACAATTTTGCAGCCTCGTCTGAACAAAACCTGTTTACTTTTCCTGATCTACAATTGGTTGACCTTTTCAGCATTTAACTCTGATCAATGTCCTTCCAAATACCTGTGTGCTACTAGATACCTTACCATTTCAGAGCAGGCAGGGCTTTGGAGTGCTGTTAGTTCACTCCAAAGTTTTTATAGTACTACAAATTGGTCTGATAGCGCTGCTCGCATACAAAGGCACCGCCGGAGTGAAGCCAATAATTAGAGTTTGGGTGTAGATGGCTCGTCTCTTTGAAGAATACCCCAGATCTCTATTCATACACCTCCGGATGGAACAGCGCATGCAGCCATGCATTGCATCAGAGGCCAGCAGGTGTCAAGCTATCTCCTGATCAAATAATTAAACTGTTGATGATAGCAACCCCCATAAAATCACATTTGGCCTTCGGATAGGCTGAAGAGTCCGGTGACTTGATTGAGGTCGCCACCTCTATGTAACATATACTAAAATCTCAGCCGTCGGCTAGATTGAAATATTCGTCAATTATATAATAGTCAGTGCCCTCCGAGGCCCATCCCGGGCTGCCTCTCCTGCTCTCTAGTGCTTCCTGGTCCTGAAGAGATGTCACTTCTGTTCAAGACGGACATGGATTACCTTCTCATTCCCTTACATACTCCCATTCCACTCCAATAGATAGATCTTACCAGGAACTGCAATATGTACGGAGCTTTTTAGAAGTTCACTTGGCTGGGTTGTGCCACAGTGACACAAAGTAATAAATGCATCACAGGCTTTTGTTTGTTTTTGTTTTTTTTTCTGTAGGAGGAAATGGTGAAACTTTGGAGATGTAATTATTAGTGATTTATCTCTTCCTCATTATGTTGTTTATGTTCCTGTCCCTAGGTGGCAGGAATAAAAGGCATGTTCTTGGCCAATAAGAAGCTAAATAATGAGGTGAAGACATACATAACCTATAACAAAGGCCGCAACTGGAGGCTCCTGCAGGCTCCCTCAACTGATCTCAGAGGAAATAGAATCCATTGCATGCTGGTGAGTAGATGTGTGGGAAAACAACAAGAGACAGACACGTCCAAAGCTAGCCGTATGATATTTGACATTCATACATGAGCTTTATGAGGTCAGTGTACTTTCACAATGGCTAACTTGTCAGATTTTAGCTTTTGAAGCATTAATCAAAGACGGGTGTTTCTTCAACTACAGTTACTTTACTGTATGTCCCAGGGTTTGATTTTTATAAAACAAACAGATTTCAACTTTTTTTTTTTTTTGTTATGAGAAGATCACATTAAAACTCTTTTTAATGAATTATTTTTTTTCACACCTTCATCATTTATTTTATGCTTCTTTTCAAATCCTGCTTGTTTTGTTGCCTCTTTGATCTAGCCCTAACCCAGGCTTTCAATCTAGAAAATTCATGATAGAATATGAATCCTTTGGTAATGTGAACAAAGAGTGAAAAATAATTTTCATTCATTGAAATAAAATTAAAAGATTAAGCTTTTATGGCTTGGAAAATAGCTGAAATTAAAGTCAAATTAAAATTAAAGTTTAGGTGCAAAATTACTGACATAAAACATTAATTGAAGTTAAATACAAATATCTACAAAAAACGAATGAAAAATCATAAAAGCACATAACAAAATTACTGAGTAAATGAAAAATAAAAATATAAAAAGCTATTTCAAAATATTAATAAATACTATAATAATAATGTATAAATAATACTACAATAACACTGTTTGAGACGCATTGGAAATGTCCCTGTGATGCATGTTCAATGATGGACATGAAATTCAACTAGTAAAGGTGTGAAAGCTCTGTTTTGAGAGTTTATTTGAGAAAAAAAAAAAACAGTCAAATGTGTTGTTGAAGAAACACTGTTACATATGGTCATACTTGATGATATTATGCACAATTTTGCACAATAGCTCCATAATAATCATCATCATCATCATCATCATCATCATCAATAATAATAATAATAATAATAAAAGTAATAAGTTGATAATATGCCAACAGAATGTGCATTCCTGTGGACACGGGTGTTTGGAATAGGTCTACATAATCAGTGCTGCTTGTCATTTCAAATGACAAGACATCTGTTTCATTCCATGGAGATATTATCCATCCCCGGTGAATGGCCTCCACAACCCTAGTCCCCCCACCCCCCAAAATGCAAACAAAAATAATTACCCTCTGATAAACTCAACTAATTAATGGTCCCACTGTTGGCCTTGCCTTCACCATCCATTACAGAGCTATTTGTTAGAAAATGTCAACGTTTTAATAAACCCCTAAACAACCCTTGCAACATGTGCTTACCATTGGCATTTCCAGACTTATAATGAGAATTGTGTCACTAAAGGTTATTCCAATCAAAATTAATGTTGGGAGGGAAAAAAAGTCATGAGCCTTTGCTGTTATTGGATTTTTTAAATGGGATTTTATTTAAGCCCAAGCACAATGACGGTTACTGGAGGCCACACACTGGGGGTTGTGCCGATTTTGAGACCCCACTTGAGCAAGATTATTGTTTGTGTTGCTTCTAGCCGTACTGTTCTCTGCATCTTCACCTGCAAGTGTCTGCAAACCCGTACACATCTGGAAATATAGCCAGCAGAGAGTCGGCCCCTGGAATCATAGTGGCATCAGGTGAGCTTGGGTAAAAGGACTGATGATATAATTTAGAGAGAAATTTACCAGGGAAGAAGAAGACAATTCTGTACATATAATGCAGAGTGATCTTATTTGTATTCATACATAAAGAATAAATGTACTTTACTGTTTAAAATTTTAGGGGTGGTAAGATTTTTTAAATGTTTTTTTTTTTTAAAGCCTCTTATGCTGATGCATTTAATTTGAAAATACAGTAAAAAGAGATATTGTGAAATATTAAATTAAACAAATATTAATATATTTTGAAATATAATTTACTCCTGTGATGCAAAGCTGAATTTTCAGCATCATTACTCCAGTCTTCAGTGTCACTTGATCCTTCAGAAATCATTCTAATATGCTGATTTGATCCTCAAGAAATATTTGTATTTTTATCATCAATGCTGAGAACAGTTGTGCTGTTGTTCTAATAAACAGCATTTATTAGAAATCTTTCATGAATACATACATACATACATACATAAAAGTATAAGATTTCAAAAAAAGCTAACGTTCTAAATCTAAATAAATAAAAACAAATCTAAAATAAATCTTATAAATCTAATAGGCTGATTTGATGCTTATGATTTTTTTGTTTAATTGTTATTATTATTGGCATATTATTTAGTGGAAACTGTGAGTTTTTTATTTTTTAAAGTAAATAATAAAAGTATTCATTTCATACAAAAATCTTACTGACCCCAACCTTTTATAGATTGTTTTTTGTATATTGAAAATATAAAATACAGTATAATTTAAAACAAACACTTTTATTTGTGTACAAATTTTGTCAAAATTAATAGTATTATTAATACTTAATACTATCTATCTTTACACATATTTCTTTCATGTTGTTTCATTAACTCTGGTCACTTTACTTTCTTAATTTTGGAACTGCCTTAATTTAAAAATGTGCCTGAAATATATCAGTCCATTTTTGGATCCTCCTTTAATCTTTAAAGAAGCATTTCAAAGTTGACAAGACACTTATATAAAAAATTAAAAAAAAGATTAATAAAACGGAATACTCAAGGATTATTTGTATTTTGGTTTTGGTTACAGACAGGTAGAAAAAACTGTCTAGATGACAGGTACTGGAAGAAGAAAATACTTTTTAAAGTGTGTTGTTCTTATATTCTTCCTTAAATCCCTGACATCAGTTCATTTTTTTTTTTTGTCCTGGAACTCCAAAGTGAAACATATTTACATTCCTTTCATCTTGAGCGCTTATGACACTCTTACTGTTGAAGACGTTCATTTTGCGCTTGTGGAGTGCAGACATCCATTACCGCGGGAAGTAGGGGTGCTGGGGGTGCTGCAGCACCTCCTGGCTCGGAGCTAAAGAAAAAATGAGGGTGCTGGGGGTGCGGTGTTAAAAATAAATACATTTAAATTTTGTAACAAAAAATAAATAAAACTAATTTTATTAATTTGAATATTCATTAAAATCATAGGGGAAAAAAGCTTAACGACAATAAGCAACAATTGTCGCGTGACGTCACCACGTCCGCATCCGTCATTGAAGATTTAAAAATACACAAAAGATTATTTTTTCGCGAAGCCCAAAAAAAATAAAAAGAGACCGAGCCTTGAGCTGGCGATAAGGAAGCAGACCTGGAGCCTATGCCTAGTGGGCAGCCAACCAGCAGTAGGCATACGCATTAATCTTATTTTGTTTTAGTAGTATTAATTCTAACAATAATTAATTCTAATTCTAATCATTCTTCCTGATTATCCAGTCAGTATGGTAGGCTAGTCTAAGAAGCCCTTTATTGTGGTCACACTGTAAAACTTGAGTTAAGTCAAATCAATTTGACTGTGTATAAGTTGTTTAAAACGTTTATCATATACTGATTTAAAAAAAAAAAACATTTGTTGCCATGACTTTTTGATAATATTTTTCCCCCTATAACACGTCTGTACCCAAATTAAGAATTAACGAGCATGTCAGCTATTACAAAGAAACAGAGAAAGTGCGAGAGAGTACATTTACCTCAGCAGCAACTGTCGCATTCTCGCATCTTGATCTTTAACGTTATCTTTTCGTGGATCAAAACTAATGCTTAAGGTTGATTCAATCTACAATAATAATAAAAAAAACGTTACATCAACAATAAAATAGTACAATGATGAAGTCGCTTAGCTTATATTAAACATAAAAATTGAACAAAACAAATAAACTGATGACTTGGTGTAACCGCATTGTAACATAAAAATAAAGTATTTGTATTTTCCCCTTTGTGGCTCATTATTATTATTATTATTATTATTAATAATAAAAAAACATAGGCCCACAGTTAAGTAGTATCAT